GTGGGCACACACGTGTTATTCCACGCTTTCATTCTTTAACCCCGCTTGCCCTCCACCTCCTGCCCCTTCCTCTACTCTTGTCGCAGCTCTCTCCGTCCCTCTCCGCATGTGCTCCTGAACCCTCCTCTCCAAACAGGCTTCGCCCCACACTCCATGACCTTGTGTAAAGGGCACTGTGACCTACACGTTGTCAAATCTGCATTTGTCCCAGCTGAGCACTCCCTCAACCTTGGGACACCGTGGCTTCCAGGAACCCTGTGCCCTTTTGACCTCCGAGGTCCTCACCTGAGAGCACCTCGGATGCCTCCTGGCTCTCCCCAAGCCCCTGCGCCTCAGCTTCCCCGGACACCTGGGAGGCATCCCAGCATCTCCTGTTCACACCCACACCCTGGTGGTCAGAGGGGTGCCCCTTGCTGCCCCTGGGCCCTTGTCCCAAGGATGAGGGAGCGGTCAGTTGGGACAAATGTGGACTTGGCCACTCTCAGGCCTCCCCTGTCCCTTGCAGTTCTTCTCAGCAGCCGGAGGCAGCCCGAATAAACCTAAGGGGACCACACAGCTCCTCTGGTGAGAGCCTCCCGCTGCCTGGGTCCACCCTCTGTGCCTGCAGCCCCCATCTCTCTGTCCCGACTGTGCTGGGCGCACCCAGACCCTGCCCTTGTGGGAAAAGCTCCCCCAGAGGGAGGGCTGGAGGAAGGAGGTCGTGCTTTGGCTTGGGTCCCGGCAGGAGCACGACAGAGTCCAAGGTCAAATCCCATCCCAAGATGGCAAGATCCCCTGGCCCCCCCAACCTCAGAGCCTCCTAGATGTCTCTAGAAATCATGCTCCACCCACTCCCCTCTGTCAAGGATCCTGCCCCTTCATGGCTGTTCACACTGTCCCCTAGGCAGCTTCAGAGCAGCAACACGGCCTGTGAAGCCGTGGTGGAGGCGCATGACCAGCCCTGGCACTGCTGCCCCCGGGCACAGACCCTGCCACTGCCCCCTGGAGGCCACACTCATGCCCGGCATAGGGGACAGCTTTCACCTACAAGAGACTCCACAGCAGAGAGGATGACCGTGACCCAAAGCGGCGGGTACCCCTGAGGATGGAGCGAAAAGTGACCTTGGGAGGAAAAGACGAGCTGCTGAGGTGCAAGGCAAGACAGTGTCGCAACATCAGCCACCACTGGCACCACGGGAAAGACCCACACGGACTGGAGGACTGGCACACAGGACTTCAGGTTGACCAGGTGTTATTTTTTAAACTGGGTCGTGGCTCCCAGGCATTCATGATTATTTTTGTATGTAAGCCTGAAATAACTCACTAACTAAATAACTTCCAACCCCCTCCAGCCCCACCCGCCGGTCCTTAGGAGAATGTCCAAGCTTCTCACCGGCATTCGAGGCCCTGTGGGACCTGGCCCTGCCACATGACCTCTGCAGCCTATCTCTGCCACGCTCCCGACCTTTGCTCCAGCTGTGCCCTCTGCCAGAAATGCCTCCGCCCACACCCCACCCTGGTCTTTCTGGCTACGTCCATGTCCACAGGCAGCTTCTAAGCAGTGGAGAAACAGGAGCAGACTTGACTGTTAGCAAGAGGCCTCTGGGATCGCCAGCGAGGAGGGCAAAGCCAGGGGGAAGGAAGGCGCCTGCCTTACGGCCAAATGCACACCCTGGCATCTCCGGAGGCCCTTTCACCTTTAGCCCACAGGTAACCATGGAGACAGACCAGTCTCAGCTCCAGCCCTCAGAACTGAAGGGGGGAAGAGGGGAGGCCAGCATTGAGCCACAGGGAGCCCACCTGGGATGTCCCTTCCTAGGATGCCACCTGGGGCCTGGGAGCTCCCACAGGCTGAATGTTGACTCCAGGACCTTTGCTCCCCAACCCTCATACTCAGAGATGTCCAAAACCGGAAAGCTGGGTGAAATCCTAAGGGAACTGAGGCCTAGAGCAGGGAGGGAACTCGTGGAAAGCCGAGGCAAAGGCAGGCTCAGATTCCAAGCCTAGCACCCTCTGTACCCTCGACCCCTGGCTGATGACCTGGTTTCTGTAAATATGCTAGTTCCAGGGACCTCCTGAGAGGGATGGCATGGCCTGCAAGTCCCGTGCACTGAAGTGGGGCAGGGCTGCTGGGTCTTACCATGCCCCCTTGAGGGTACACTTATGGCAGCTTGGATCAGGGTGTGCGTGAATGCCTGCCTGCCCTGAGGTGGCCAGCTCTGTCCCCTCTCTGTGCTTTAGAGCCTTGTCTACCTTCTGGGGCTGCCCACCCAGCCTCTCAGGGCACAGTTCTGCAGCAGGACTACCTCGTGTGTGCACGTGTGTGTCTGGGACTGGACACTCACCGGGCTGGGGGCAGGGGCTTCCCTGGGTCAGTCCAGAAGGCGCAGGTGAGACTTTGACCCAGACAGGTCCCCCAACCCCAGCCCCACGCACATAGAGGGGATAGAGGAGCCAGGGTGGGGCTGAATGTGCAGAGGTGTGCACCCTGGGCCGGGCCCCCTCCCACCTGGGCAGAGGCAGGGGGACATGTTTGGGTGGAGGCTGCAGCCTCTCCCTGGGTGAGATAGTTTTGGAAGTTGGAGACAGCGTTTGGGGGAGGGAACCAGAAACAGCCTCCGCATGGAATATGGGAGTTCCACCCAGAGACCCTGCATGGCTGCCGGCCTCAGAGAATGGGGGGGGCTCCAGGCAGAAGGGCCCATCTGGGAGGATGGGTGGGGCCTTGGCTGGGCAGTCATTGCCCCTGTCTGGCTCTCAGTGTCAACATCTGTAAAATGGGCCTGGAACTCCCAGCCACTGGGTATGGGTGCATAAATTAATGTTCTGGGAATGGACACCAGACAGCCTGATTCCAGGCTCCTGAGCCCCCAGGTAATGAAGCCAAACCTTGGGCCCCTCGTGAGGTAGCTGAGCCCAATCCACAAGCTCCAATCCACCACCAATGTCTGCAGGACAGTGGGGGCAGGCCCTGGCTTCCTTCCTGGCAGCTCCTCACTTGGAGGCCACTTCCCCGAGTGCTGATTTCTTGGCAGATGCACTGGGTCATAAGTCCCACAGCTAGTGGTGGTTGTAAAAAGAAGTAAATCGTGTGTGTTTAGACAGAGAAGAGCAAAGTGGAGGTTCATAAATAGCTGTCTAGGCCAGTGCGGTGGCCCACGCCTGTAATCCCAGCAGTTTGGGAGGCCCACTCAGGAGGACTGCTTGAGGCCAGGAGTTGGAAACCAGCCTGGGCAACATAGCAAGACCCCATCTCCACAAAAAAGATAAAAATTAGCCAGGTGTGATGGTGCTGGCCTGTAGTCCCAGCTACTTGGGAGGCTGTGGCCAGAGGATCACCTAAGCCCAGGAGTTTGAGGCTGCTGTGAGCTATGATGATGCCACTGCACTCTAGTCTGGGCAACAGAGCGACACCTAGTCCCAAAGAAAGAAAAAAATAGCTGTCTTCATCCATCCATCTCTTGGGAGGGTCAGCTTGGAGCAGGGGCTCGGCGAGGGTCGGGCAGAAAGCGGTGGGAGACCTCAGGAGTTGCAGCTCCTACCCCCTGACCCTCCCACATGCAGATGGGAAAACAGGCCGGAGGTTTTTCCCAAGGTCACGGAAGGTCAGGGCAGAGGGCACCTGGACCGCCACTCGTGTGGCCACGAGTTAAGTTACGCACGATGAAAACCGGGGCTCCTCTGTGTGTAACCGGACTCCCCCTGAGCGGCGGTACCGCAAGCGCGGACTCAGGCGCCCCCCCTCCCGGCCCGGGCCTCCCGGAGCACCGAGCCCGAAAGCGCCCGAGCGCGGAGCCCGAAGCCCGGAGCTTTTCCTCACCCAAAGCTTGGGTTCCCGGAGCCCCGCCCCGCCCCGTCGCGGCCCCGCCCCTCCTCGCCGGTTCCCCCACCTCGCTCTCCCTCAAGTTTCTCCGAAGTTTTCCGCGGGTCCAGCTGTGCACCCCGCCCGCCGGCCGGTGACGTAACAATGGTGCAGCGCGGCGACCAATGGGCGGTGGCGGGGGCCGGCGGCGCGGGCCAATGGCGGATGCGGACCGTCCCGCGGTCCTGCCCGGCCCGGGCCGCACTGCGCCGCCCGCTGCCCGC